TCCTGGTTGGTGTTTGCTGTGCACAAAGAGAGATATTCACTGCCCTCGCTTCGTGTTTCACAGACAGTTCGCGGCCTACTGGCTATATAGCTGGGTGATGTTTGCTGTGCACGAAGAGAGATATTCACTGCCCTCGCTTCGTGTTTCACAGACAGTTCGCGGCCTACTGGCTATATAGCTGGGTGATGTTTGCTGTGCACGAAGAGAGATATTCACTGCCCTCGCTTCGTGTTTCACAGACAGTTCGCGGCCTACTGGCTATATAGCTGGGTGATGTTTGCTGTGCACGAAGAGAGATATTCACTGCCCTCGCTTCGTGTTTCACAGACAGTTCGCGGCCTACTGGCTATATAGCTGGGTGATGTTTGCTGTGCACGAAGAGAGATATTCACTGCCCTCGCTTCGTGTTTCACAGACAGTTCGCGGCCTACTGGCTATATAGCTGGGTGATGTTTGCTGTGCACGAAGAGAGATATTCACTGCCCTCGCTTCGTGTTTCACAGACAGTTCGCGGCCTACTGGCTATATAGCTGGGTGATGTTTGCTGTGCACGAAGAGAGATATTCACTGCCCTCGCTTCGTGTTTCACAGACAGTTCGCGGCCTACTGGCTATATAGCTGGGTGATGTTTGCTGTGCACGAAGAGAGATATTCACTGCCCTCGCTTCGTGTTTCACAGACAGTTCGCGGCCTACTGGCTATATAGCTGGGTGATGTTTGCTGTGCACGAAGAGAGATATTCACTGCCCTCGCTTCGTGTTTCACAGACAGTTCGCGGCCTACTGGCTATATAGCTGGGTGATGTTTGCTGTGCACGAAGAGAGATATTCACTGCCCTCGCTTCGTGTTTCACAGACAGTTCGCGGCCTACTGGCTATATAGCTGGGTGATGTTTGCTGTGCACGAAGAGAGATATTCACTGCCCTCGCTTCGTGTTTCACAGACAGTTCGCGGCCTACTGGCTATATAGCTGGGTGATGTTTGCTGTGCACGAAGAGAGATATTCACTGCCCTCGCTTCGTGTTTCACAGACAGTTCGCGGCCTACTGGCTATATAGCTGGGTGATGTTTGCTGTGCACGAAGAGAGATATTCACTGCCCTCGCTTCGTGTTTCACAGACAGTTCGCGGCCTACTGGCTATATAGCTGGGTGATGTTTGCTGTGCACGAAGAGAGATATTCACTGCCCTCGCTTCGTGTTTCACAGACAGTTCGCGGCCTACTGGCTATATAGCTGGGTGATGTTTGCTGTGCACGAAGAGAGATATTCACTGCCCTCGCTTCGTGTTTCACAGACAGTTCGCGGCCTACTGGCTATATAGCTGGGTGATGTTTGCTGTGCACGAAGAGAGATATTCACTGCCCTCGCTTCGTGTTTCACAGACAGTTCGCGGCCTACTGGCTATATAGCTGGGTGATGTTTGCTGTGCACGAAGAGAGATATTCACTGCCCTCGCTTCGTGTTTCACAGACAGTTCGCGGCCTACTGGCTATATAGCTGGGTGATGTTTGCTGTGCACGAAGAGAGATATTCACTGCCCTCGCTTCGTGTTTCACAGACAGTTCGCGGCCTACTGGCTATATAGCTGGGTGATGTTTGCTGTGCACGAAGAGAGATATTCACTGCCCTCGCTTCGTGTTTCACAGACAGTTCGCGGCCTACTGGCTATATAGCTGGGTGATGTTTGCTGTGCACGAAGAGAGATATTCACTGCCCTCGCTTCGTGTTTCACAGACAGTTCGCGGCCTACTGGCTATATAGCTGGGTGATGTTTGCTGTGCACGAAGAGAGATATTCACTGCCCTCGCTTCGTGTTTCACAGACAGTTCGCGGCCTACTGGCTATATAGCTGGGTGATGTTTGCTGTGCACGAAGAGAGATATTCACTGCCCTCGCTTCGTGTTTCACAGACAGTTCGCGGCCTACTGGCTATATAGCTGGGTGATGTTTGCTGTGCACGAAGAGAGATATTCACTGCCCTCGCTTCGTGTTTCACAGACAGTTCGCGGCCTACTGGCTATATAGCTGGGTGATGTTTGCTGTGCACGAAGAGAGATATTCACTGCCCTCGCAATTGTCAGGTCGATGCGCTACATCGCTGATGTACACTTCACAAGATTGTGCTTAAAAAACATTCTTTTGGTGTGCCCTGCCCTCCTCTAAATATGTGCCTCGCCAGATATACAGTCTTGGACTTATAAGAAACTTAGGAATTCTGCTGGGGTGACGCAGCTTTGGCGTCGGGTAATTTCAAAGGTTAGTTAATGACTGACTCCTCTAATGAACTGGAGGTCTCTCCTGATGTCGCTCCACACTATCTTCTCTCCTTCAAATTTCCCTAATTTGTCACATTTGAACAGTTGGCGTGAATTTGATTTCTGCAAATGACGTCCTAACTTCAAGGGATGTTAGCCCCCTAAAGACAAACGGCACAGTTGACAGTAGAGTAACATTGGGGTATGGTGACGACTCTCCGGCCGTCCTGCTCCATAAGCTATAGCTGGCTGTAACTGTCAGCCCGCTGTATTTCCCAGAGGTCCCCGTCTAACTTCGACTTCTGACATTCCTAAAGGACTTAGTTGGGGGGGAGGGTCTTACAATCTTTGTTTCCCTTCTTCAGAAAACAAGCCCGGGTGTAGGGACATTGGAACACATGTGTCTCTTTGTCCGCGCATTGCTGAGCTTAGCAAATGCGACCTGTTCTTTGTTCCTTCTATCTACTGTGATTTCTTTCAGCTCATTTAATATCAAGTGATTCCACTAGCTTATGGTCAACGTGGGGGAAAGGGTAAATCGGACGAAGCTGTTACAAAGGACCTGCTTTATCGCCAATCCTTTTCAGCTTTGCTTTAGAGTATGCCATTAGGAAGGTCCAGGGAAACCAGGTGGGACTGAAATTAAACGGAACACATCAGCTGTTGGTCTATGCCGATGATGTGAATCTACTGGGTGATAATATAGATACCATAAAGAAAAACACACAAACTTTAATTGGCGCAAGTAAAGAGGTTGGTCTAGAAGTAAACACAGAGAAGGAACCAAGTATATGTTGCTGTCTCGTCACCAAAATGCAGGGCAAAATCATGACATAAATATAGGAAACAGGTGTTTTGAAAATGTGGCACAGTTCAGATATTTGCGAACGACGATACAAATCAAAATCTGATTCAGGAGGAAATTAAGAGGAGATTGAACTCGGGTAATGCTTGCTACCATTCAGTCCAGAACCTTTTGTCTTCTCGTCTACTGTCCAAAGACATAAAAATTAGAATTTACAAAACTATAATTTTGCCTGTGGTTCTGTATGGGTGTGAAACTTGGTCTCTGACATTAAGGGAGGAACATAGATTGAAGATGCTTGAGAACAGGGTGCTGAGGAGAATATTTGGACCTTAATAACGTATACTCTTCTCCAAGTGTAATTAGAATGATCCAAGTCAAGGAAGGTGAGGTGGGCAGGGCATGTAGCACGAATGGGGGAGGAGAGGGATGCGTATAGGATATTGGTGGGAAAGCCAGAAGGAAAGAGAACACTGGGAAGACCAAGGCGTAGGTGGGTGGACAATATTAAAATGGGTCTTAGAGAGATAGAATGGGATGTTATGGATTGGATTAGTCTGGCTCAGGATAGGGACCGGTGGAGGGATCTTATGAGCACGATAATGAACCTTCGGGTGGCATAAAATGCTGGGAAATTCTTGAGTAGCTGTAGAATTGGCTTCTCCTCAATAAAAGCTCAGCTCCATGAGTAAATAAGTAAGTAAGGATAAATCAGAATGCTTGTACCTTTCTTATCCTGAGAATCTTTTTAAAAGTTGTGTGACTTCGTTGACGCTTATGAATTGTTTCGTTGCAGTCTGTAGAGCTGGGTGCGTCTGCCACATCTCCAACAGATCAAAACTGGAATTTAAATGTTTATATTAGACTTGGGTCTCCTGGTTTTTGGATAGTGGTATTTCGCACCATCTCTGGCCAACACAAATTTAAGTCGATCTTCAGAATAATGTGATAGAATTTGTTGCGTGTCAGATGTGATGTCTCTGCTTTGCCGAGACGAGTACTGACA